AGACCTTGCTGAATAGTAAATTTCTAATTTGTTCCACTGTGCGCAGCCTTACAAAACTATACAGCAGAAATCAAAATCGACCGCAAACACCCTATACTGCTTTGTACCGCGCGGTATCGTGCCACCACATTTTTTTTTTTGAGCAGACCTTTTAAGCAAACATTATAATAAGAGTTAAAAATTTGTTTTTAACCTTCAGGCGTCTCCTCTTGACGGACACCACCGTCTGCACAGCCAACATTGGCCATAAAATCGCATGTTTCCATTTTAACATTCCAAGCCGTACCAGGACCGCAATCTTTTATAGTTGCTATGCCATTATCACAGTGAAGAAACTTTTTGCAATCCAAAGGATGTGGATAGACGCCAGAAGCGCCAACAGGACATGCTACAGCTGGACTATTTCGAACTGCGCAAGTTGATAAGAAAACCATAAAAAATTCAATAATCATTATTTGTTATCACAAATTTCACCTTGCCAATCACCAATGCCCAAACGACCGGAACAATCAACTTTATTCTCAAAATCACAAACTTCAAGCGCGGCATTAAATGCAGTACCCGGACCACAATCCATCTCATAGCGTATGCCGTTTGCGCAACGTAGGTATTTCTTGCAATCAGTTGGATGTGGATAAAGACCTGATTCACTTTCTGCGCAAATTGTGGACTGTGCAGAATCGACAGAGCTCTGTGTGTGAGCACCAACAGAGTTCGTATCCAAAGCACTCCATTCGACTTTGTGATCGTATGTGGCATAACCAGGATTTATATGCTGCCAGTCCGAACGTAACCACACGTAGTCTGTGCTTTCTGCTTCGTCAGTAGGTATGCAAATTTGATTGGAAATGCTAAATACCGTATTTTGTGCGCAATTCTGAATAAGCGTTCGCCCATCAAGGCATTCTATATATAGCAGGCCATCGAAGGGATAAACGAAATAGCCAACTGCTTGCGCTGGACAAACGATGTAGTTTTGGTACGAGGCTAAAAAACGAATTGGTTGTAGTTAAGAATTTTCTATTTATTTTCTACTTTTACTATTTAGCTAAGTACTCACTTATATCTGTAGCATAATCTTGCGAGCACTGTACGCGATCCACAGGTGTGACTTCCCTTGCAGCTAGACACATTCTCTGCGAAATACTAAAAACGCTGCCCGTCTGACAGGTTTGTATGAACGTCTCACCATTATTGCAATTCACAAAATGCTGTGCATTAAATGGATGCAAGAAGAGGCCTTGCATATTCGGCGGACATGCGACTTTGTCCTCGATTATCGTATTTGCTGCTGTATTAGGTAACTTTGTGCCTTGCATACAATTAACATTTTTTTCAAAATCACAGACCTCCACATCTGCGCTCCATGCCGTGCCAGGAGCACACTGCTTAACTTGAGTCACACCATGCGAACATGCAAGGAATTTCCTACAATCATACGGATGCGGATATGTGCCTATCGCTTTAGGTGGACATTCCACATCAGCGTCTGCACTCACATCTTTTGCTAAATATTTATTAATTTATTGATCATAAGTACTTAATGTGAGTCATAACGCAAACACTTAATGAACTTACGTTCTCTCTCACTCATTACTCCAGCTTCCTGAACGTCAGCGCCTGCTTTGTGATTGTCATATCCATTATCCGACCGCCAGTTACGATCATATTCGTTTACTTTCGTTTCATAGTCGCAGTATCTTCGTGTCGTGCTAAATATCATACCCTTTACACAATTTTCAATAGTTCCATGCCCACGGCTACATTTTATATATTTCGTATTATCGTAAGGATATGGATAGACACTGTTAGCATCTGAAGGACATGTTGTCTCGAGCAATTGATCTAAGGCATTCAAATACCATGTTTTAAGATTTTTTTTT